GAGGTTGCAGTGAGCTGAGATCACACCACTGCACTCCAGCCTGGAAAATAAAGTGACTCCACTTTAAAATATATATATATATATATATATATATATATATATATATATTTATTTATTTATTTTTATTTATTTATATAATTATAAATATATATTTATATATATATAAATATATAAATATATATATATATATATGAGAACAAAATTAAAAATAGATCTTTTGAATGTTGTCCTCCTGTCTACCTGTAATGATGTATCCTTTGACCAACATCTCCCAAAATCCTGCCTCATCATCTGGAAACCACCATTCTACTTTCTGCTTCTATGAGTTTGACTTTTTTTAGATTCCCCATATGAGTGGTATCATGCAGTATTTGTCTTTCTGTGTCTGGATTACTCCATTTACCATAATGTCCTCTAGGTTCATCCATACTGTCACAAATGACAGAATTTCATTCTTTTTTAAAGGCTGAATAGTATTCCACTGTAATGGTTCTTGAGGTTGCTTCCATATTTTGGCTATTGTGAATAGTGCTGCAATGAACATGGGGGTACAGATATCTTTTTGACAGACTGATTTCCTTTTCTTTGGATATATACCCAGTAGTGGTATTGCTGGATCATATGGTAATTGATCATGTGACCATAAATGCCTGGATTTTTTTTCTGGGCCAGAACATCCATACTGTTCTCCATAGTGGCTATACTAATTTACACTCCCACCAACAAGGGCTCCCTTTTCTCCACATCCTCATAAGCACTTGTTATTTTGTGTTTTTAATATTTGCTACCCTAATAAGTACAAAGTGTTATCTAAATGTGGTTTAAATTTGCATTTTTGTGATGATTAGTGATGTTGAACATTTTGTCATATATTGGTTGGCCATTTGTATATCTTCTTTTTAAGAAATGTCTACTCAGGTCCTTTGACTGTTTTTAATTGGGTTATTTATTATTTATTTTTGCTATTGAGTTGAGTTCTTTATATACCTTGGGTATTAACCCCTTATCAGATGTATAGTTTATAAATATTTTTCCAATTGCATAAGTTGTATCTTGACTCACTTGTTTCCTTTGATGTGCAGAAAACTTTTTAGTCTAATGCTATCCCATTTGTCTATATTTCCTTTTGTTGTCTGTGCTTTTGGGGTCATATTCAAAAAAATCTCTGCCTAGATTAATGTCAAGAAACTTTTCTTCTATGTTATGTATTTTGAATTGACGCATAGTAAAAATACATTTATGGAGTGCACTGTGATGTTTTAATACATGTATACATTGTACAATGATCAAATCAGTGTATTTAGCATACCCATGACCTCATATATTTGTCATATCTTTGTGGCAAGAGCATTCAGTTTGAGGCCTTACCTTTAAGCTTTTGATCCATTTTGAGTTGATTTTTGCACATGGTGTGAGATGTGTCTAATTTCATTCTTTTGCATTTGTATATCCAGTTTTCCCAACACTATTTATTCACGAGACTGTCTTTTCTTCATTGTGTGTTTTGGCAACTTTTTTGAAGATCAGTTGACCATAAATGCCTGGATTTATTTCTAGGCCAGAAGATTTTTAAGGTATGTCCCAACCTTAATATATGTAGATAAAGGTGAATATATATACATATATTGAGAAAAGCTTATTAAAATAGTATCCTTACTTAGTTCTTTTTTGCATGTTATCTATATAATTGGAAATGGACATGCATTTAATTTATAACAAGAAAAAAATCACACATATTTTTAAAAGATACCCAAAATAGAAGTGATCCTTTTAAAACTTAAGTGAGATCATGTCACTCCTCTGTTCATAATAGTCCAGACTATTTTTTTTTTTTTTGAGATGGAGTTTTGTTCTTGTTGCCCAGGCTGGAGTACAGCAATGGCATGATATTCAGCTCACTGCAACCTCCAGCCCCTGGGTTCAAGAGATACTCCTGCCTCAGCCTCCCGAGTAGCTGAGATTACAGGCGCCTGCCATCGTGCCTGGCTAATTTTTATATTTTTAGTAAAGACAAGGTTTCACCATCTTGGCCAGGCTGGTCTTGAACTCATGAACTCGTGATCCACCCGCCTTGGCCTCCCAAAGTGCTGGGATTACAGATGTGAGCCACCGAACCTGGCCAATATTCTAGACTTCTACTGGAATTCAGAATAAAATCTATGTTCTTATCATAGCTTACACAGCTCTACATGATCTCATCCTTCCACACCTAATTTCAACTCCTACCAATCTCCCTCCATTTTAGTCATAGTGGGCAGTACCTCCAACATGCCATGAAAGCTCCTATCTCGGGGTCTCTGCATTTGCTGTTCACATGGTCTGGATTCCCCTTCATCCATATATATGAATGGCTGTTGGGATTCACTCGGGGTGGCTGGGAAAATACTTAAAAAATATTTTTAAAAGTTATATAGTCTCAAACCTTTTGAAAAGCCAAAATGTTTAATAAAACAAGCTAAAGGCAGCCAGTTCTTACATTAAAACTTTAAGTCATAGGGTAAAAATTAAAATAATAAAAGCTTCCCAAGTTAAGTCTGTTTACCCCACATTCCTTTATCCCTACTCTAATTTGTTTACTCATGTAAACTTTATGCTAAATAGCCCTCTCAAAAAAAGGTTAAAAAAAAAATTACCCATTAATGGTGTTTATTCTAAAGCCCCAAACCAAAACCTGTTATCATTCATAAAACCATTCTTTTAACCATATTAATTATCCACAAACATGCTAACTTAAAACTTCTATTATTAAATCTATACTAAATTAAAAAAAAAACGTTGTGGTCGGTTAGGGGCAATCACCCTCTAAAAGCAGCTAACAACCTCCCTAGCCCACTCAAATTCACTATACTCTGGTGTACAAAAGTGTATTTCATTCATCCGTCGCGTGTCAGGGTCTCCAAAACAAACCTCCCCAGGTGGTCTTGGGGCCTGTGCATTTGCTGTTCACATGGCCTGGATTCCCCTTCATCCATATATATGAATGGCTTCCTCTCTCACTTTTAATTCAGTTCTCTGCTCAAATGTCACCTTGTCAGAGAGAACTTCTTTCACTACCATATCTAAAGTAGCACCTGCTATCATTCTCTGAACATTTGTGTTGACTGCATAAACACTAAACCTTTCTGTTCAATATAAAAGATACATACTTAATAGCAAATTGACACGGAGAAAAATACTTGTGAAATACATGACAAAATACACATATTCTAATACATAGCATTATAATGAGTAAAAAAGATGAGCGACTTAATAGGACAGTGGGTAAAGGAGGTGTAATTGACAAAAGAAGAAATATAAACACCACCCACATGTACATGGAAAGTCTACTTGAACTCACAGATAAGTAAAGAAAAGCTAATATTACCAAGAGTAAAGACAATTTTTCCTTTAATCCAGGAGCTGGCATTTTTTTTTTTTTTTTCTGTGAACAGCTAAGATAATAGAAATGTTCCCTTTTGTGGGCCACATATAGTTTTGGTCACACATTCTTCATTACCATTTTTTTTCCCTACAACCCTAAAGATGCTGACTGGATTTGGCCCGAGAGTGTTAGTTTTGCTGACCCTAGATCTACAGGTAGTGATTAAAGATGGAGAACACTTAATGCTGTGAATCGGGAGGGTAAACTGGCTCACTGCTGTTGGGGGCACAGATTGATGTAGCTTTTCTAAAAGACAGTTTGCCCTAGGAATTCCACATTTTTGATTTTACACCAAGAAGCTAATCTGACAGGAATGGAAATATTTTTGTACAGAATACATTGCCATGTTATTCATAACAGCAGGCAGGAGGAGGAGAAAAAATTTATATAATAAACTAGGAAATAGTTAAACCACGTGTATGAAATAAATGAAATGCCACACAGCTATTTAAAAGTCATATATATCTGAATTAAATAACAGAACAATCATATAACTTATGGTTCAAAATTATAAAATAGTGTGCATAACATAGTTCAACATATACAAAATTATATATGTACATATGTTTTATAAGTGTATATATACATATTCAAAAAATATGATTACCTCACGGGGATTGGGATACTAAGTGGCTTTTATGTTTATATAATTAGGTATTGCTTGATTTTGAGCAAGTATCATCATTATAATCAGAAAAAAATAAAATTCTTATTGAATTTAGCAAAACCTCAGGTAACTAAAATGGGCTTCTGCCTGAAGTGCAACAGTTTTCTAAACTTATTCTTACAATATAATAATGCTATGTATTTTTCACAATTTGAACAAATAGTTTTTATGAGTTTTGTTTGCTTTCTGGTTTGTTTATTGTACCAAAAGGACAAAGTTGTTCATTAACTTGCTCTCTTAAAAATATTCTTTTGGAGCCAGGCGCAGTGGCTCACGCCTGTAATCCCAGCACTTTGGGAGGCCGAAGCGGGTGGATCACGAAGTCAAGAGATCGAGACCATCCTGGTCAACATGGTGAAACCCCGTCTCTACTAAAA